AAGCGGAGTCGCATTTTCGTGGCTCAATATCGCCATTATTCTTGATGTCGAAATTTTTTTCATCTTGATCCCATTTTTAATTTCGCATTGCGCATATCCAAGCCACAACAACGATGTCTTGTTACTACCGGGCTAGACTTAGATAGTACCAGATAATCTCTATGTACTCAATTTAGGAGTAGGTGTCTCCTCTATTCGCGTATTTGACAATACACCAGCCTAGCAATTTGCACTTGTAATTTTATAATCCACTATTAAATGACTTAATATCCACTTTTCAGTTTAAGTTCCATCGATTATAATTGGAAGCCATTAGCTCTGACAGGCCCTTTTATGAATAGATGACTCAGCACTATGATTAAACTTTCCCAAGCATTCTACTACTTATAAGGTCTACTTCTGACTTCTTTGAAATGTGAATTTTCATAATACTCACACTACTAGATGAGAGCGTAAGCTTCAGTTTAGAACTTATGGGTGTCTGATTTTTTTGTAATATTTCGTGAACCTATTTTGAGTATGATAAGCACATTATTATGTATACCACGTTGATCAAAATTTAAGTAGACTCAACCATTTAGTAATAATTACTTGTGCGCAGAAAATCCGAAATTGACTGTATGACAATTACTTTAAGACAGAATTCGCAGGATATTATCCATACATTTATACTCAAGATATTCGGCTTCATTCCGTAAATCAAGTAATATATTTGTGAGTACTCTTTCCCTCTACACAAATTGATTTTCGTTCTTGTAAAATTTCGTGCCCTATATTTACAGGATTTCGGTGATGATCAAAATAATGAAGACGATATGGAGGCTATTAAGGACGATTCAGATGCAGACGACGTAGGCTTCTCCTCATTCAATGCTAGTAAGATGGGCGATAAATGGAAAAAGGACCGGCCCGCAGGTGGAGCAAGGGCTCATCGAGTGACTGGGATGGATAAGCGATCTGGAGCTTCTGAACAGGAGGCTGCTGCCATTCGAACTGACGATGATGATTTCTGATCGATCCTGCCAGTGTCGTTTTAGGGGAAATAAAGTTTTAAAATGGCGTAAAAATAGTTTACCTTTTCCGCAACATAGGCAGACATTCACGTGATTCCCGCATAAAATAGCGCAAACAGCCGCATACAAACATGAATATATCATTATAAGCAAGAGACTAGACAAGCATACGCAATTCATTCACTTGGACCTTTCAACTATAAAGGCAATAAAGCAGCCGCGCGGATTAGGATATATAAAGGAGGAAAAAGAATTAAATTTCTGATGAATAAATACCTAATCTGAAAACAATACGAACCAACCGATAGACAGTTAACGACATACGGACTTTTTTCATACTCATGCGGAGGCCAAATGTATCGGAGAGAGTAGTAGACTTGCCTTGCACCAGGAGGCTTATCGGTTTTATATATTAATACCCTCTTACTTTGAACAGCGAACTTGCAGCCAGGCTTCTCTATGTAATTTTAAATGTATTTATTTAGCATCCATGCACCCTGAAAACCACATTGAAGCATATGAAACCTAATAGGCAGGACAGTCAATCCTTTTAAATAACTATTAGTTTATAGTGCAA